TCGTAATGCGGTAACAGACATACAGACAGACAAACAGACAGGAAGACCGACGGACAGGTATAAATTCTAAAAACTATAGATTCGGACTCTGTATCGATAATAATGTTTATTTCATTAAGATTTTCCAAAAAATATCTAATGTACAGATTCGGCCTGATTACAATTTTATTATATGTATAGATGTATATTGTATACATATATATTGTATACATTTAAAAACTTTTTAGACACAATGGACACGCTGTTTCGCTTTGTAACCAAGTACCTAATCTGTATTTTTCATGTTTATCAACATTTATGTTCATGATACGTTCATCTGCGCGAATAAATAGTGATGTGTATGAGTCCTTTCACACATATACATTACAAAATTCGAATGCAATCTTGTTCACTCTTTTTAATATTAAAATTATTAATGAAGTTTAGTATCATCCTTGTTGTAAATAAAAATTGAAGAAATTGTTATTGTTTTTTGTCTTGTTTGTTTTATCTTAATCGTTTGTTGTAACGTCAGTGTAAAACAACCAAAGAGAAAGTATAATCGCATTGTTCCCAGTCGGAGCGCTTGAGCTAAAACAATGGAGTGTCAGAAGTAAAATTCCATAAATCGTTTCAATAATCAAATCCACTATAGATATGTCAACTATGACATCACTTACTTTTTTTTAAAGAATAGTTATGCATTTTTTTTAATATTAATATTTAAATTAATAGTTATAAGATGAATAAAAAAATTGAAAACTCTATTAGTAAACTACGTATTTGATAGGGTAAATGTCTATTTAAAAACTCCGACCTCTACATTGTAGTGATTGGCCTATTGTATTTTTGTCAAATTAGATATATTTTTTAGCATTTAGTCACATTCTTAGACCGACTACCAAATAAGAAGAGTTCTCAGACTGAAGAGTGGATTGAGAAAGAATAATATAGACTGAGTGTCGGATTTAAATATGAACCCAAACAATCATTTTTTTAAATAGTATATAGAAGTAAATGACAATTTGTAGACACAAGACACGTAAATAAATCTTAATCTATACATAAAATAAAATTGTAACTAAGTCGAATCTGTACATTAAATATGTTTTGGGAAATCTAATTGAAATAGACACTATTATCGATACGGAGTCCAAATCTATAGTTTTTAGAATTTTTGTCCGTCTGTCTGTCTGTCTGTTACCGCATCACGAGAAAACCACTGGACAGACTTTGATGAAATTTGGTATGATGATAGCTGGTTATCCGGGTCAACATATAGGGTACTTTTTACTGAAAATATCTAATTTATGAGAAAAAAAAAACTGCATTGTAAGAGTATACTAAATATGTAAAACCGACGAATTTAGTTTTTGGTCATCTGAACGCGGGCAGAGCCGAAGGCAATGCTAGTAAAATATAAAAATAGCTAACAGATTTTATTATAACAAAGAATAAAGGTAATATTAAGCTATTTTTAAAACTATAAAAGAATATGGAGTTATTTTTAATATTCATTTTTTTTTCTAAAAATTGTATGTTAATTTAACTAATACATATATAGAATTTCCCTTATTCCTTGAAAAAAGTAAACTATCCGTATGGCAAAGTCACAGCAACAGCAAATCACGCTACTATTTTTGACATTGACAGTTATTTTGGCGGATTCCGTCCGTCTATATAATTTTTTAAGCTGAGGTGGAGTTACTGAATCTGGATGTATATTTTTAGTGTACGATAAGCTTTTGCAATTATAAACTTACTTTAATGATTTTTAATGAATAGATTACACTTAAAAAGTAATCGAATATTTTCAAGAAAAAATTCTAGCCGGAAGTGTGAAATAATTACATTTAAATCGATTTTAATTCATTGTGCCTTTCCAGTTAAAATGTAATTATGAAGTTGACCAAACGCCATTAAATAAAACTGACAAAATATTTTAAATATTAAACCACGATTGCAGTATTCAAAATAAATTATGATTTAAATCTTTTGTAGTACGTTTTTGCTTGAAAAATCTATTCCAACTGAAAATGTTAGCTCATTTTTCTAAGGGCTGCTTCAGCTACGAATATTCGACTGGTTATAGATCTATACATATATGACATTACAAAGTATTAATATGGACAAATACTGCAATTAAAACATCTAATGTTATTGAATTTTTCTGTAATCTTGTTTTAAATATCTTTAATATTACAATACAAACCAGAAGATTTGTTAAGAATTTAGCACATAATAAATAATCGAAAATGAAGTCATATATTGTGCTTTACACAGTAATCACTCCGTTATTTCTAACGAATTTTGAACTTTTAGTTCAGTTTTAAATAAAAATCTCATAAATATTATAAATTATGCGAAAATTTGGATGGATGTTTGTTACTCAATCACGCCATAACGGCTCTAGATGAGGCACAGAGATAGATTATAATCTGGAATAGCACATAGGTTACTTTTTATCCCGGAAAAATGTACGATTCCCGTGGGATAGATTCATTCTTGCTCTTCACCAAGACGAACCCGAGCGAAACAAAGGTGTGTAGCTAGTATGTACAGAAATATTTAAAGCAAATATGTGAGAACAAACCTTCACTCCTCTTTCCGCTTACAAAAATCGGTCCCACGACCACTCAAGACTCGTCGAAAAACCATGATCTTTTGATATTAAAATTTATTATACACTTTTATCTTCGTTATACTCCTTCTTAACTATTTTAGAATATTGATTAAAAAAGGTGTTTAAGACATTTTATTAAGACATTTTATTAACGAGTTTCCTTTGAAATTTAATCATCTTTCATCCTACAGGATGACGGTAAAAGCCACTCTATCGCAGACAACATTGTATTTTAAGTTTAGGCAACTCAATATTTTTACCAACTTAATAAAAAGGAGTTGGCTTAATTTTTATGTTATATATAACTTAAACTATAAATAAATACATATTATAGATATAAACACCCATGACTGGAGTACAAACATTCGTGCTCATCACACAAATCACTGCCCCCAGCGGGACTCGAACCCACGACTTCTGGCGCAGCAAGTAGGTCACTACAAACTGAGCCAAAAGTGTCGTCTAATATTTTTACATAATATCTTCAATATCTTTTTACCACAACAACAATTTAGAAATTTCTTATGTTGAATTTGGAAATCATTTAATAATTATAATCTATCTTCTATACATATAATAAAATTCTGATTCGAATCTGTATATTAAATATTTTTTGGTAAATCTTATTGAAATAGTCATTATTATCGATCAGAGGCCGAATCAATAGTTTTAGAATTTTCGTCTGTCTGTCTGTCTGTCTGGGTCTGCATCACTAGAAAAGCACTGAACAGATTTTGATGAAATTCGGTATGATAATACACTAACACACTAACCTTATTTGGGTGGACTCTTAAAGTCCACCCGAGCCCATAGTTTTGTTCAGCTTTTCTTTTTTGTTCGCAACGTCTTTTGATTCTGAAATTGTACACGCACGAATCCATCTCAAATTAAATAAAATGATGATGATGATGATGATGATGTTCTCCTAGCCGATTCCGGCTTCGGCGGCCAATCTCAATGAGATTAGCCAACTGCGCAGGAGATATTATAGTGCTCAAGTGTACGCGCAGACACAAGTGCACTCTCTATTCCTATCACTCTCATACTCCGGTGGGACGACCACTCGACACGACCGGTGAAAAATAAAATAAAAATAACAACAAAACATAAAAATGCTCAAAAAAAGGCACGGACGTATGTCTGTGGGTGTTAGACTTACTCAAATAAAAAGAAATATATTATGATAATAGCCGGGTCAACTATACGATATTTTATACTGTGGGAAAATATATCGTCTCTGAGAAATCTATACTAAAAGTTAAAACGTAACTAGGGACGAAACCGAGCGGAGCGAGAATGAATCGCTAGTTCTATATATTTTTGTGAAGCTTGAAAGCCCATAATAACCCATATTTTCACCATAAACATTTTAAAACTGATATCTCTAAAAGATGTTAAAGGCCAAAGTTATTTTTAACATGACAAAAATTTTTTTTTGAGTATTTTACATCGCCAGCCGATGGTTTTATTAGCAGCTAATGAACAACTTAATTTAAGTAATAACCTACTTTCAAAGGACCTTCCACTTTCAAACCCTTTGCGAGGGCTCTTTAATGTGGCGCACTTTATTGCATGGAAATTTGATTTATAAGTATTTCTGATTTATCAATTATATCGGTATAGTTTTTGTTAAAACTAATTACATATTTATATAGTACAAGCAGAACCCGCGGCTTCGCTCGCGCTAAAAGTACACAAAAAACTCCAAAGAGGTAGCTTTTATACAAACTTTCATCCCCTATTTTATCCCCTTATGGGTTGTATTTCGAAAAATCCTAAAACACGTATTTATTTAATTGTATTGAAGAGCATTAAAACCAAGTTTCAAGTAATTGTCAAATTACTTGAAACTTGGTATTAATGCTCTTAGTATTAAATAATTTTTAGGTTTGTATTATAACGTGTTTTCCCGTTCCCGAGATAATCTCCCGCGGTTAAAAGTACCCTATGTCACTCTCCAGCCCCCCAACTATATCAACACAAAAACTCAAGCCAATCCGTCACTCCATTTCGACGTAAAATAAGGACAAACAAACAAATAAACACTATCGCATTTATAATATTAAGTAAGGATTATAATATAGTAATTTGGTTTTTAAAATGTCCTACTGCTGGACATAGGCCGCTACTTCACGCTGGACAAGTGCGTGTTAACAGACTTCATGTGAATTTCAAAAACTAATCTAGTTTCTCTTAGACATGCAGGTTTCATTGCAATGTATTTTCTTCACCCTAAGACAAGTGGTAATCATGTTGAAAGGGATTCGCGCATGAAAACATTAGTGCAAGACGCGTGGTTAAAACTCGACTTGCTTGATTTTCCAAACGAGTGCGTTACCACGGGGCCTTCAAAATGAAATTCTTTATACTTGGTTTAAAATGTTATTTCTTGTTACAGACAGCAATCAAAGTAGAAACACACGCATGTCGCCACGCGCAAAAGAAGACAAATCTACACAAAAATCAAAATCAAAAAGTTACTCCGTGTAAGTATTATTATTATGTCCTAGTGTTCGCCCGGTGGTTGAAATTTGACCATAGTCATCATTGAAATTTTACGGTTAACAAACAGAGGTCAAAAAATTAAATTGTTTTATCTTTACCTATCCCTATAAAAAAAGTCCTAATTTTTTTAATTGTTAACACACTAACAGTATGTATATATATATATATATATATATATACAAATATATTTTATCGTCCCACCGGAGTATGAGATTGACAGGAATGTGTATATTTATTTAGTAATATTTCAAAACAAAACCATGGGTTCACATAGAGTAGTAATATCAGTAAATGTAATTTCAATAGCATTATATATATTTTCAAAATGGAAAATAAAACACCCATGCTATTTCTAGTTACACTTTCCGTAATACAGTGGTATCAAAATAGGATTATATTAAAAATATAGAGCTTTCATAACAAAGCGCAACTTAAGACGAAGGTTTTCAAAGCTTAAGATGTGAACTGTAAAGACCGAATCTCTTCGGCCTCGTGTTGTATTATTCATATATTCCAAACATAAGTAAAATATAAATTATATTTTATTCATGAAACATTCACTTATAGAATTAAGAGAATGATAAAATTTAATTATCATTTTAATTAAAATAACTTGAACCGTTTTATTTTCAACAACAATTTTTTTCCATTTCAAGAGGAAATTTTTCAATGAAAAAAAATCCATAACTGTCACTATTTTACTTTATTCTCTTACCACAGATGATTTTGTATAATTGTTATATATGTCAAAGAGAAATTGTAAAATCCTTTAAATTATAATTTTACTATAATTACCCGGAGTTTTGTCATTCGCCTCCTTTTCTTACAACATCACGGGACAATTTTAGGTAAATTATAAATTCACTAAGCACATTCAGTGAAATTGTAATTGTCCTAGTTAAACTGTCAAATATTAGCTATACCAGGGTTCAGTGGAAAGCCTCGGTTTGGTTGGTGGATTAACTGCAATCAATGGATCGAACATCTCATAAAATTCTAAAAAAAATATGTTTTTGAATTATGCGATATAAGATTGTCAAAAGATTATAAAATTTGAAACATGCATTTCTATATATCATAGAACTAGCTAGTAGGTACTCGCTACAGCCCTCAGCTCGCGTTAAGTAACTGTTGTTCATTTACTTTTGGGTAACATGGTTTCTTAATATGGAAGCGGACAGAAAGAATCAAAAATAAAATCATAGACAAATTTCTACCATAGTCAATGTTCAATATTAGTTTTTAAAAAGATATTTTCTCGCGTATTTTAAAAGATATTGTAAACAACTACATAATTAAGCTCACAGTGTCGATTAAAAGTTTTTTTTTTCATTTTCTAAATGAAACCGGCATTATGTCCAGCTTTTATTTTCTTACTAACGCGGTCTGTAAGCAATTAATTATATTACTTTACAAATAAAATACGTACAGGCATTAGGTATTTTAGTAAAATATAATTAAAAATATTGACAGAAATAAGAACAGTGTAATAATATTATTGACTAGCATTACCCGCGGCTCCGCCCGCGTTCAGATGACCAAAAAACCAAATTCTTCGGTTTTACGTATTAGTATGCTCTTACAATGCAGTTTTTGTATTTTTTCTCAGAAATGAGATATTTTCGCGCGGTAAAAAGTATCCTATATATTGACCCGGATAACCAGCTACAACAACAAACAAACAACAAAATCTGTCCAGTGGTTTTCTCCTGATGCGGTAACAGACAGACAGACAGACAGACAGACAGACAAAAATTCTAAAAACTATAGATTCGGCCTCTGTATCGATAATAATGTTTATTTCAATAAGATTTTCCAAAAAATATTTAATGTACAGATTCGGCTTAGTTACAATTTTATTATATGTATAGATTGTAATCAACTTATTCACATTAGATGATGATAAAATAACAAACTATGTCTTACTTCTCTTCCCCTTGGAAGAGAGATACAATAATACTAAGAGTATATTAACTTAATTCTTTCTTTATTGTAATAAATCCGTTACCCATTTTTATTTATTAACAATTATTGTGATGAGTATTCTATTAATATTTTTGTACTGTTTTGTTTTAAAACATTATTCTTTGGATGCATGTTTAGTTCTACGATTAATGATACTCTCATTAAACCTTAGTCCGAGGCATATCTATACTAATATTATAAATGTCAATCTATACAATATGTTAATACAGGTCGACTGTGTACATTCAATTTATCACGATTATTAAATAAGCGTATTTGAACATAAGGAATATAATATCTGATCTCTAATTAAAGTGAAAAAAATAATGTTTATAAAAGATGAAATTTAATATTGGCTTTCTTCCAGACGACTACAACAGAGTGGTGCTACAGACGGTCGACCGGGAGCCGGACTCGGATTACATAAATGCTTCCTATATAGATGTGAGTGGCTTTATTATTTTATTATTTTTTTATTTAAATCTTTTATTATAATTTAGTAAGTAAAATGCCTTTTACAATATAAAAGATTTAATGCTTCTGGCATTAATAATGTCCATATTAACTTTTAAATAATCTATGCATAATTTATAGTAAAATTCTAAATGAGTTAAATGTATACATTAAATTTTTTTTTGAAAATCTTATTTAAATAACCATTATTATCAATACAGAGGCTGAATCTATAGTTTTTAGAATTTTTGTCTGTCAGTCTGGGAACGCATCACGAGAAAAGCAATGCAAAAAAAACTGGTTATCCAGGTCAACATATAAGAATATAGGATACTTTTAACAGCGGGAAAAATCTCATCTCAGAGAGATCTATACTATCCTTTAAAACGTACCTAGAGACGAACCCGAGCGGAGCGAGGGTGAGTCGCTAGTTGCGATATTTCTTAAACTGTAATTGCTGTTCTATATATACTCCTTTTCACCGCATTCTATAGATTAAAAAATTTATCTATCCAAATTTTGCAACAATAAACATCTACATGATCGACTAGTGTAAATGGAACCCTGGAATCCGATGTATTACAAATAGTTGTACGATATGAGAAAAAAATAACAATTTTAGTCGAATATCACTTCATCTTCATCTTGTACTAATTCAATTCACAGTTAATAGTTATATACTCTATACAAAATTGAAAGTTGACATGTATGGTAAAATCTAAAAAAGTAAAAGCGAAAAAGAGCTACATTAGACCGATTTTGATAAATGTTTTAGTTTACTGTATTTTTGCAACTTATTATCCTCTTGAAAATCACCCTGTACATATAAGTTGAATAGATGAGCTTACTCTGATATTTTAAAATTCATAACTACCTCATTTTTTGTCCTCTAATAATACACTCAACGCATAAAAGACAGTTACAAGAATAATTTCATTTCAGGAGTTTCTCTCGTCTTCCTCGCCGTCACTTAATAAACTTGGCTGCAAAGTTTGCCATCGTTAGCTATACTCTAAACAATCAATGTTTTATTTTGGAACTTTGGAACAGTTGAAAATTTAATCACCTAACACATAACTTGAGGAATATTTTTCCAATAAAAAATCTTACTTCGTTACTAGTAGGCTTATTGTATATTATTAATTTAAAACTCTTTCGAAAGTAAATGCTTGGTTTATCAAAATTCGTTATCACCACGAATGAAAAATATAATGTTTTGTCTAGTCATGTCAAAAATGTACAATATTTTAAGTTTTTAATTTCAGTTCTGCTTGAAAACCTCCCTAAACATATGCTACGTAATACTTCAGCCCTTTCAAAATTCCACTGCGGTATGTCCTTCAATACAATGAGAATTACACCGTAATCCACCTCCCCGTCCAAGTGCGAAACGGACTTCACATGTCTTACAAAGGTATGGTTCTGTCAGACATGCTGGTTTGTAGTTGTACACGATGTTTCACAGTACAAATAGTAATCATGTTCAAAATGATGAATGTCTCAGAATCCGCTTCATTTGGCTTTCCAAATAAGAGAATTAATGGTGAACAAATACCATTACATCTTAATTCAATTTACGATTCTAAAATAAAAGTGAAGTAGGTTTTTAAAATATTTTTTTAATCTGGAAAAACAGAGCTCAAACCAGTTAATGAATAAAAAATGCAAATATGGTAATATTTCAACGTCGATGCCATGTGTCTTATATAAAATGTTATAAAGTATACAGGTACATATAAAAAACTACTAACTACTTCAATAAAAGAGACTTTTACAAGCACTTGCAAAGTGTAAATTCCTACATTTATATGTGAGAGTTAAAGAACCTACCATTGGCTAAGAATGCAGTTCTGCTGTAAAGATTCATCGAGAACCCAACAGTTCTTTTGGTTTATCTCTAACTCCACTAAACTCTATTGCTTCGTCTCATCGTAAAGGATTAAAAAATGGCAAATTAAAGACTTATGGCAATTATAGACATAGGCATAAGTAGGTGAAAAAATTAAAAAAAAACTTTCTACTCGGGTAAAGTCAAGGCGGATACTTGTACAGTATAAAGGCGTGTTATAAATTTATTCGCAGAGTTTCAGTCATTCTCGCATTCTTTGCCTCTTTTTATAAACTTCGCGGTGTCAAACTTAGTCGTCGTTAGCTGTCTTCTAAGATCTATAGAACTTTCTATTAAATAAATGAGAACACTCCAAGATCTAATCAGTGGAACTTCAGATTGGTTTGTATTTGTTTTACTTGTTAGACTAGTTTTTACCACAGTTAATTGTTACTTTATGGTCATTTAGCGTTTGAAATTCTACCAAAAATAGAGTTCAGATTTAATATCAAGCTTTCTCTGGGTCACATCTGGGTCGCAGGTTCAAATTGTCTTAGGAATTAATATTTTTATGTTACACATTTTGTTGTTGTTTCTTTTCAACTTAAAATATAAATCATTATAGTTCCAGTATTTAATTAAACAGAACAAAACATATCCCTGGCACAAGATGACTTAGTAGATATCATAGAATATGTAAGACATTGCTTTATTACCAGTATGTAATTGGATATGCAAATCTTCAACATAAGTTAACGAAATCCTCCCAAACATTATGAGGGAAATAGAACCTTTGTGGAATTTCCAACTTTATTTTTAACTAGCATTGCCCGCGGCTCCGCCCGCCTTCAGATTACCAAAAACCAAATTCTTAGGTTTTACATATTAGTATACTCTTAAAATGCAGTTTTTGTATTGTTTTTCTCAGAAATGAGATATTTTCCCGCGGTAAAAAGTATTTCCTATGTGTTGACCCGGATAACCAGCCAATACCAAATACCAAATTTCATCAAAATCCCTCCTGTGGTTTTTCCGTGATGTGGTAACATACAGACAGACAGACAGACAGAAAGACAGACAAAAATTCTAAAAAGTATAGATTCGGCCTCTGTATCGATAATAACGTCTATTACAATAAGATTTTCCAAAAAATATTGAATGATTCGGCTTAGTTAGAATTTTATTATATGTATAGATTTTATTTTTCTTAAAATTTTAAACCATTTTTATTTTCCTAAAGGTGTAGAACACTATAAAAACTTCATACATGAATAGAAGAGACTGAATAAATAAAAAACATATCCACATTAATGTACCCTATAGTCGCGATTTTTATCCCAAAATATCTTGAAAACCTAAGGCCACTACGTTGCGGGCATTTATTGTTTGTTTAAATGTTCTCTGTCTACACCAATTTCATTGTGGGCCGCCACTTTGAAAAAAAAACTAAAGTGGCCGCGAGTGGCAAATGAGAGCTTTCACAAAAAAAAAAATTATATAATAAAATTATATAATTTTTTCAACTATTTAATAAATATGAGAGCATAAAAAGTATTATTACCAAAAACAAAACTTTCTGAAATGTATGATGTAATCCGTAGATGTATGAAACATGTGGCGAAGTGATTTATAACTGCGGAATAACCCCCATCACTTGAGCCTCTAAGTGTCAACTTCTGAAAGAAAAGGGTCTTCTATTATATAACATCTGATCCGTAAATACGCACAAATAATATTGTTTTATTTTAAATATATACTAATTTTCGAATAAATAATATATTTTCATATCTCCATCAACTGGAAAATAAAAACATTCGAAATAACAATATATCACAGAAGTACAGTGTAAACTTTAGTGGGATTTTCTACTTAACCGTAGGTCCTGGGTTTGATTTCCGCATAGTTTGTTTAATTTACTATTTATTGACCATAATATAGATTAAAAATATTTTCCATAGATTAATTATAATAAATTGAAAGGATTTTCCTTAAAATAGGACGCTCTATAGAATCCGAATGCTTGTAGATATAAGATAATATAGTGACAAGTATTACTATGTTTGTCAACCTCGAAAAAAAACATGAATAACGGGGGTTTTAATTTTTTTATTATTTATTATTTTTTTAATATTTATTAATATAAAAAAACATACAAAGCAGATTAAAGCATAAAAGTAAATTAAAAAAATTAAACAACTGTGCCACTTCACGACAAAAGTAGAGAACACCGCTAACAACAAATAGATAGTGTTTCACTGAAGCAAATAAAATTAAATTAGAACTAAAAGTTTTATTCTATTAACAGTTGAATTTTAAAAAGGTTTTATTTATTTTAGAAGAGTTACCTACATTCTAATTTACATCTGGATTTTTACATCTATTAATTATCTACATTTTATGAGTTTAGAAAGTCGATATGGACTTCGAAATATTGATTACTATTAGGTACGTTTTAATGGTTAGTATGAAATATATAACCTTATATTGTATACCTTGCTCAATAAACGAGTTATGTAATGCAAAAAATTTTTTTCAAATCGGATTATTAGTTCCTTAGATTAGAGCGTTTAAAGATTAAATAATAAAATCATCCCTTAGATTTACGCGAATTGAAATATATCACTCGAAAACGTTTGAGAACAAAAACTCACAATAAAACCCTAAAAAATGAAAAAAATTATTGAAAATATTTAATAAACTAGCGATACACGTTTCTTGTGCTTGCGTTTGTATTTCTTAATCTAAACTACTACTAAACATATAGAAATTTTATATTATTATGGCCTAGATCTTTCATAGACCTAGATGACCTTAACAGAAAGAAAAGGAAAGTATATTTTATTTTATTTACAAATTATACATTACCTATAAAAATAATTCGCTCGAAAATCTCGAAGTTGCGAGACCCGAAGTTAAAATCTGAATCAATTGACCTTTCCAGCATCATGAATGGGGATGCACTACCAATTATTTGTTTTTCATATTTACTAAGTATTAATACGATAAAAAAACACATCGTGAGAACACATCGTTTTCAAAAGGTATCTTATTTGCGCTTACCCGCATTCACTCATCCCTCTCGCATAGAGAATATAGACCCGTGCCTAGTAATAAGACATTTAATAGGCTGAAGTATTATAATAATTTGTCTTTAAGTAATATTAAAACAAAGACTAATCTTAATTATTATTATTTACTAACTGACCTGACGGACGTTGTTCTGTCCAAAAATAAATCATTTGTTCAACTGGCACGCTTTGAAGCCATTAATCTATACTAATATTATAAATGTGAAAGTTTGTGAGGATGGATGGATGTTTGTTACTCTTTCATGCCAGAACGGCTGAACGGATCTGGATGAAAGGCACAGAGATAGATTATACTCTGGAATACCACATAGGCCACTTTTTATCCCTAAATAATTTACGTTTCCCGTGAGATAGGTTTGTTTTTGTATTCCTAGAGGCAAACCCGAGCGTAGCAAAGATAAGCCGTTAGTATTATAATAATTTGTCTTTAGGCAATATTAAAACAAAACTAAGCTAACTTATTATTGTAAATTAACTGACTGACCCGACGGACATTGTTCTGTCCAAAAATAAATCATTTGCTCAACTTGTCGTTGTAGAGTTGAATATTTGTTTAAGTCCTTAAGAAAAAAATTGAATTGAATTCAATCATTTGTGATCTTTGACATCATACAAAAATTTATTGCAAAAGAAGCACTTTCAATTTTCCACAATTTTTATAGTTATGGATAGGTATTTAAAAAAGAATCCAATCAAGTTGATTCTGCCTTGGGTTGCGCTTATCCACGAACATAATTTTAATTATATAGATTACGTTCAGCCACTCTCGTGTGATACACAATTGATCACAGAGGCAGACCAAAGTCTCAAGCTTAGTTTTATAATACGAGTAGGTATCTTCCAAATATCTGCTGGTAGAAAATTTAATGCTAACTTAGCATTAAATTTCCCCCTATTTATGTTTTAGTATATTTAGATTTTGTCCAAATGTAAATGCGTATTTTCTTTATAGACCTATAATGATGATGTTCTCCTAGCCGATTCCGGCTACGGCGGCCAATCTCATTGAGACTAGCCAACTGCGCAGGAGATATTATAGTGCACAAATGTACGCGCAGACACAAGTGCACTCTCTATTCCTGTCACTCTCATACTCCGGTGGGACGACTGCTCGACACGACCGGTGAGAATTAAGGCGCAGGACCGACGGCTTTACGTGCTCTCCGAGGCACGGGGTGAAACACCGCAAACTTCCCAAATCCGGGCTGTTACTGAGATTTACTATACAGAAAGGCTCAATAACTGAACTTGGCCCGACCCGGGACTCGAACCCAGGACCTCCGAGTGTGCAGCCGTACTTGCTAGCCACTACACCACCGAGGCAGTTAGACCTATAATAATTGCTGTACAATTAAGTGCTTTAACGAAATTAAACAGTTTCCAGAGCATTCAACTAAATGTACTTAGACGTGTCCCTTCCTTACCTTTATTAGACCCTTTCTAAGGAACAGCAGACTCTTTTACAAACAACCTCTTCAAGCATCGTTATAAATAATTGATTTGAGGAGGTACTATAATGTATGTATTCTAGTATATGTAAGACGTATATTTTTTTTGTATGTTCACCTGTATTGCACCTCGGAACTCTTAACTAACTGAATAGATAGAATTGCTGTAGATTCCAGTGTAGTTTTTAGAGAAAATCCGGAAAAAAAACATAAAATTTTAATGGATTTGAACAAACTTACCTTAATCTTCCAAACCCATGCAAATACGTACCATTAAAATGTCATATGAATTTTATTTTCATTACTTTCCTAAAACTTTTGCAATACTTTTGTAAACGTAAAAGTGATGTTTTGTGTACAAGTAATATAAAATGTTAATTAAATCCCTCCACGGCCGCGGACACGCTGGCGTGTCAGTTAATAATAGATTTCTTAGAATTTTAATTAATTTCTTAGAAATTTACCTGGAGGTGTTAAATAATTAGGTAAAATGAAGTTAGTTAGAACTATAAAAATCTTCATAAATTATAAAAGAATCCATACTAAATTTAATATTATAATATTTGTGTTTTTTTGTCCTTCTTTCACGTCGAAACAGAATGACGAATTGGTGTGATTTTTTGTGTGAATATAGTAGAAAGGCTGGAGAGTGACATAAGCTACATTATTACCACGGGAAATTATCTCATTCCCATGGGAAAACACGTTATAACTTATACAACCCACAACAACTCATCATACCTATGTGTATATATAATATGTAGTCTATCTATTCCATACAAACCGTTAAAAATTATAAATACAAGTACTACTGATTATAAATACGTTAACTAAAAATGAGCACAAAATAAAACATTCATAGAGACATTGTATATACTCGTATATATAATAAACGTCTAACTAAATTATAAGGTAATGTGTAGCACGAGTTCGTTTAGCATTTCAGATGCTCATATTTCTAAACAACCCTTTTACTTATAGCTTCTATTAATTCCTGTATAATTCTAACTCGAAATATATTTAAATAAGCAAACACATACAATTTAATAGAATTCAGCTCTCACATAATTTTGTCAGAAATTTTACAGTCCCGACATTTTACATGCCAAATTTTAAACAACGTCGAGTGGCATTAGGGGTCATATTAAATTTGTCTTACACCGTACAAATTTACATGAAATGCTAAAACCTAAAACCTATTATTATACGAATACGTAAGTTAATATTGTTGTAGGTAATATGATTTGCATGTCCTACTTATGAATTTTCTTTTTATAACACGCCGTCAGTACTCAGAAATTCGTCTCTCGGCAACTTAAGTGACGCTCTATTATCTCCCTGAACCACTTTACTATATACTAAGTTAAAATGTAGCCTATTGTGCCACCCTTTAACTTACAAACTATCTGTACAATTCACAGCTCTCACATACCTTCACACCTAAGCTATACTGGGAATAAAAAGCATTTTTGCTCTGCACGCGTCATATACTACATTATGAGTGTGCATGGCAATTTTGTACCTAGACTTGTTATTTATCTCTGTGAAAGTTACCACTTTGATATTTATGGAAATGATACTTCGGACTTTTATCTTATTGAATTGCCAAATTTGAAAACGCGGTTGGTGAAAATTATGTTGATAATTTTTTTTTTTTTTAAATACATGTTTTGTGCACATATTGCTATTTTTCTCAGAAACAGCTCTTTTTTAAGTTTTTTTTTTTTCAGGAAGTTTAGAAGTATTTCTTCAGTTATCAAATTTCATTTTTGTATTGGTTGTTTAATTAATTTATAGTGAACTAGCGACTCACCCTCGCTCCGCTCGGATTCGTCCCTGCTTACGTTTTAAGGTTTAGTATAGATTTCTCGGAAATGAGATATTTTCCCGCAATAAAAAGTATCCTATATGTTGACCCGGATAACCAGGTATCATCATACCAAATTTCATCAAAATCCGTCTAGTGGTTTTTCCGTGATGCGGTAACATACAGACAGACAGACAGAAAGACAGACAAAAATTCTAAAAAGTATAGATTCGGCCTCTGTATCGATAATAATGTCTATTTCAATAAGATTTTCCAAAAAATATTTCATGTACAGATTCGGCTCAGTTAGAATTTTATTATATGCATATATTAAAAACTGTCTTGGCGCTTAAATGCGTTGAGCACCTATCGCTCTATACTTCTCACTAACAATAGAACATTATCTTGTCTTATTGCGCACTCTTATTAAAAAATAGTCTAAAATATGTGCATAAGTTATCTCAATTCCGAGTATCACTCGTTACAGCGTAACGTAACATACAAAATTTCGCAATTTAATAGTAGATATAGATATGGTTAAATTTGGTTAAACGTCGTTCAGTTGTAATTAACGGAGCTATTATGTAAAACAACTAGCGGTCTTGTAAAACAGCCGATTCAACAATCCATCTGCGACATATATAAGTACAATAAAATTATTGTTTGTTAAAGAGAACTTAATCATATTTTTTTGTTGACAGAGTATATTAAAGCCTAACGCCTACATAGTGACGCAAGGGCCCACAGAAGAAACTGTCGTCTCTTTCTGGCGAATGATATGGCAAGAGCGCGCCGCAGCCATTGTCATGCTTACAAAAACTTTTGACTTCATCAAGGTAATATTTTAATAACGTTATTTTATTTAGTTATAATAACAAATAACACAAATTGCAAAGTTGAGCTTTTTGAATTGTACGTTACAAACGTACAATTCGAAAAGCTCAAAAGTTTCAAAAAGCTCATAACTCAAAAGTTAGATGTGAAGATATATTTGGTAATTTTGGTCTGAAATTCGAATTAGTCATTGATTTTTTCCTATCTCGTAAAATTTTCTAGATATACGAAGTCCTGATTTGTATTAGTAGTACTAAAATAAGCAGAATAGATGTCTTTCACAAAATATATCGGTTATCTATCTAGGGCGCACTGAGGCAATTTCGAAATAATTTCGTTCGTTTGATCCCTTGCTGTATTGTTATTACTAAAACTTTAATTATGCAATTATTATGTAGGATATTTAAGAATTTACTCTACAAATCGTACACTTTAGAAACACGATTACATGTAGTTTCCTCGATGAAACAAAATCCAAAATGATCTCTAAAAAACAAAATAAACCCTTAGTGCGGCGTAAATATTTTAAGGAAGTTCATCGGATTTATAATAATAATAAAAGCTCGGTGCCCCCTTAATTGGTTGCTTGTTTTTATAAATTTTCCTTCTTTGTAGTGGGTATTTCTCAGCGCCTTAAATTTTCGCTTTCTGGAGGTTTATCTCTGTAACTAGCGCATAAAACGGTCTGAAATATATTTTTTAATGCACCTTAGACTATTATCTAACTTGGACCAATTCCGTTTGTTTAGTAATTGCATTCTGAATATATAAAAAAATCGTTTGAAACTCGTTCTTCTGATTCATATGACGTGAAAACGTCAAAACAAACACAAAAACAAACAAAATTATAAATATCGCGTTATCTTATTGAAAATACAATATAAATTATATTCACATCGAAAGAAGTCAGACTTAGTTTTTTGTTTTTATTCCTGTTTCTGATTCACTTGTCACGAATTTTGATTCATATGGGCTCTAAAAAATTCAAGTTAAATATCTCAAAAATTATTTCATTAAAATGAGTGCGTAATTCAAATATATGTTATTTGGCATGTCTTTAATCATAAGAGTATGTTGAACAGAGCCAAAAGTGGAAATAATTTTTGGCCAGATAAATCAGATGAAGAACGCAATCACGGAGAAATACCCTAGTGCATCAATTAAAGTACATATGTAGTGGTGCACTTTAGTATTATTCATGTAAAAATAATCAGTTTCACCCACCGCCGATTTCACTGCCTTCTTGTATAGCTTTATTCAGACTAAAAAACCTAATTGAATTATTTTTAAATGCCGTTAATAAAATACTACACAAATTACATAATATTGTTATTATAAAATAAATATTTTTAAAATTATATACTTGCTGTGCCAAAGGTCGTGGGATCGAGTCCCGTTGGGCGCATTAATTTGTGTGATGAGCTCGAAAGTTTGTACTCTAGTCATGGGTTTATATTTATACTCGTAATATACTAGCAGAATCCGCGGCTTCGCTTGCGCTAAAACTATAAAAAATCTCTAAAATGGTAGGTTTCATACAAACCTTCATCCGCTATTTTACCCCCTCATGGGATGAATTTCGAAAAATGCTAAAAGTGTATTTAATTAGTTGTATTGAAGAGCATTTATACCAAGTTTCAAGTACCTAATTCTGATCATAAATATTTTTTTTTATTGTATTATAACGTGTTTTCCCGTGGGAAAGAGACAATCTCCCGCGATAAGGTAAGCAAGTAGCCTATGTCACTCTCCAGCCCTCCAACAATCTCCACACAAAAAATCACGCCAATCCGCCAAGCCGTTTCGACGTAAAAGAAAGACAAACAAACAAACACACTTTCACATTTATTCTATTAAATATGGATATGTATTTAAAGTTATAATATGTGTGTAGTGTATCAACTATCTGGAATCCATAATACAAGCCTCGTAGTTTACCATGGAACTAGATGGTGCTGTGTGTTAATGTCCCAACAAATTTATTTATTGTTTTATTGTACTGACTCAAATTATCTATCCTGATTCGCTGGCTGGAAAAATATATAAAATATACATTAAACAATAAATCAAAAATACTTTCAACAACAAGCTAACAAATTTCATTTCGCCATATTAGTCCTCCATCGTCCCATACACCCCCACCCATAAGTGCAATCCACTCATGAAATTTGAACAACAATTTACATACATTGAATCGCTAAAACGGGTGTAAATTCTGAAACAAAATTGAAATTAAGGTATTTTGCCTCTATTCTCTTTCATCGCGATTACGTTGTATTCGTCATTTCACACTCCATTTTGTAAGAAACGAATTATGAGAACGCCCTTCAACCCTACCAACTCTAATGTAATAAAGACACTTGGTTGAAAATTATTTTACCAACCTTTTTCAACATTTATTTACATATTTCCATGTACCTATATTCTTTGATAATATATAATCTACTATTTTTATTTTATAACACAAAACTGCTGTATACGTAACTTATATAGGTAAAAAATACTAAGAATACTATTGTTCCTCTTATTTACCGAAGTTAGACCATTATAGAAACTTTGAGGAAAACATATATTTAAATAGAATTAACATATCTATAGAAAAAAATAGTAAACGTGGTCAAAGGCTACTAAATAAAAAAAAAGAAAATCGGTTGACAAGCATAGACATAAAAGGAAGTGTAATATTTGGTCATTACCTATTTATATTATAAAATACATATGTATATTATGTGTAATCATTACTGTTTGTTGTTAGTCTTCTATACTAATATTATAAAGAGATAAAGTTTGTGAGATTGTAGGTTTGTGATGTTGTAGGGGATAATCTCTGGGTCTACTGAACCGATTTAGATGAAATTTGGTAAGAAGATAGTTTGAGATCTTGGAAAGGACATAGGATACTTTATATCCCGGAAATCATCCCTTAAGGGGGTAAAAATGGAGATGAAAGTTTGTATTGGGAAGCAAGCTAGGGACGAACCCGAGCGAGGGTGAGTCGCTAGGACTGTATATAATGAAATGTAAAAATTTTATTACTGTGGGGGCGACAAAATCTGAGCGTAGGACTTAGAAATCCTACCATTTTATTTGTAGGACGATTTGATCATTCAATTATGGATATTTTTAATAATAAATACTACGAAAATCAGCCGGTTATTAATAAATTTTATAACATTGTTATTTTAACAAGTTCGAAGAGGGGACTATTTGATCTAAACTCTTTTGTAGGACATTTTTTTTATGTTGGATTATCTCAACATTATATCGTAAAACAACCGTTAGTAATAAATAAACTATCACCGTTTTGACATGTTCCGTATGAAGCCACAATTGTATCTACAACTATCAAATTCTCGTAGAAAGAATATTTGGGCGTCTCGCCAAAATGAAGCTACTAACAAAGTTTTAGCTTCAATAAATATGTTGGGAGATAAAAACACAGCACATTCTATATAGTTCCATGGTAAGTTACGAGGCCTGTGTTATGGATAAAAGATAATCTATACACTACACATGTATAACTTTAAATACATACTTATTATAAATATAAACACCCATGACTGGACAACAAACATTCGTGCTCATCACACAAATGAATGCCCCGAGCGGGAATCGAACTAGCGATCGCTGGCACAGCAAGTAGGGTCATAACAAACTAAGCCAAACGTGTGCCTAGCTTGTTATTAATCATTAAAAAATCTGTTGGAGACTGCAGAGTATTAAGTTTCTAAAGGTTTTTAATTCAATTTATTAAAGCAATAGCTATTATTAAAGAAATATATGGTAAAGAGGAGACCCTCTTTACCATATATTTCATTTATAATATTATATGTGATATACACATGTCTCATATATCATAAAAGAAAACTACCTATTAGTTTAAAATAGGCATAAAAAAGAACTTAAACGAACACTGCAATAACAAGGTTTCTAAAATCTTGCACACGACAGTTTATCGAGCACTGCTATAACATGATATGATGCCTCACCACAATAACCGAGAATTTCACGTTATATTTTCGCTTCATTTGACCATGCCATCATAGCAAGGCATTGCGGTGGAGTCCCTTGACGCATGAAAATTTTACGTAGATTCACGCACGAGTTACTGTGACCCTTTTTATTATGGGATAATAGCAAAGGAAGTTAGAATTTTCTTTTATAGTTACATCATGAAGTTAGATTTTTAAAAACATTAAATATATATTTGATAAGTTCATTTAAAAATTTGCTAAATGTATAACGTAAAAATAGTATAAATTCATATAAAATCTATGCTTACGACACCTTACATGTATAAAAATATTAAAAAATAAATGCTACAGTTGTGAATTAATAAGGGCAATTTTGAGCCAAAAATAAAAGAAAAAGTATATATTTTATTATATATTTATTTACTTCTTTATATACTCAAATACTTTATTATACACCACAATTTCATAAAGATTAAAGAATAATGTATCTAAAGACGTCCACAAAAGGCGGCCATATCGCTAATTAGCGATTTCTTCCAGACAACCTTTAGGTTAGTAAATATAGAAAAGAATATATAAGACCATAATACATAGAAATTCTACACATATATGTATCTGTAAATAAAATATATGTTTCTAAAATATACTAATACATATTTAAATAGTCAATACAAATGTTGGGCAATGTCATCTTCTTATTTTGAGAAATGATCTAGATAATGATTTACAACAGATTTTTTAAATATTTTTAAAAATTCGGAACATTGTATATGAATAGGCAAACTAATACAGAGTTTGGTATAGAATACTCGTAGGAATGCCCGAAAAAAATACTTAAACGTAGAGAAATTCTTATTAAATTCTCCTAAGATCTATTTGTGTAAGCCCAGAAATTCAAACATGTCCTTTAAATAAAGCAGAGATATTGGATCAAACAATACACTGTACAGAAGTAAAAGAATGAATAGGTTTCGGTCATCTGTGACATTGGATTGGGAGCCACTTGAGTTTCGTTTGAAATTCAGAAATATCGTATCATAATATTTACGCAAAGCAACTATAAAATGCAAGATTTTAGAGTCGCTCCAGTTTATTTAGATAGTCCTCGGTCAGATTAAGATGGCTTGCGTCAGCATAATCAAGAATCGGAAGGAGAAGAAAATTAATGAACATTGTTATTGTTAGTTGGGATGGGAAGTATAGAGAAGCCGAAAGAATCCAATTTAATAAATATTTTTTTAATCACTTTCTTAATTTGTGTTGACCATGATTCTTAATACAACTATTACCGATCATAACATGGTATTGTTATGTTTATCTAGGCATAAAATACATCAAATGAAATGTACAAAAAGTAAATTAATAACAGATTATAATAAAGCGCTTCTTTCTTTAGCTGAGAGAAATCTCCGAGAACTACTTCTTTGTGACAATCCAAACTTAATAATAGAAAGATTAACTGACAGTATACGCAAATCACTCCAAGAAAATACAACTATAAGAAATATTCCTAAAAACAGACGCATAATCAAACCCTGGATTACTCCTGGGATCCTACGCTGCATTAGAAATAGAAATAATATGCAAAGAAAATTAAAAAGTGATCCATTTAATGAAATTTTAATAAATTAGTTACAAAAGGTACAGAAATTATTGTAATAATTTAATAAAAAAGCTTAAACGTAACTATGACAGACAACAGCTGGACGCATCTATAAAAAAATCTAAGAAACTCTGGTATAATGTTAAAAATATAACACATTTAAATCAAAAAAAAACTGACAATTCTCCTTTATTATACATAAGACCATCACCTTTAGAATCAGTAAATCATGTGAACACATTTTTCTCTAATGTAGGTAAAGACCTAGCAGAAAAAATATATAAGGATAATACATTGGAAAATAATTCTCGAACAAATTATACTCATTTGACGTCGTTTGTTTTGTTGGACACTGATGATATGGAAGTTCATGACACGATAATGTCTCTTAAATCTAATAGTGCTCCGGGATGGGATAATATACCATCTAGTTTCTTAAAATTAGCCATTAATGAAGTGACTCCCATCATAACTCATTTGGTTAACCTTTGTTTCAATAAGGGCATTTTTCCTTCTTTACTAAAGCAAGCTATTATCACTCCTGTTTACAAGAGTGGTGCCAGAGACGATGTCAACAATTATAGGCCAATTTCGATTTTGCCCTGTATCTCTAAAATAGTAGAAAAACTAATTAACAAAAGATTAATATATTTTATGAATAAATTTAACATCTTATCTGATTCTCAGTTTGGCTTTAGGCAAACAAAATCTACACAGTATGCTGTTACAGCTCTAACTTCATTAATTGTTGAACAACTTGATGTAGGTAACAAAAGTCTTGCTGTCTTTTTAGATCTAAAAAAGGCTTTTGACACCGTCTCTGTCCCCATTCTCGTACAAAAGTTAGAAAATATTGGCATCAGAGGGACCCCTCTTTTACTTCTTAAAGATTATTTATGTAATCGTAAGCAGAAAGTAAAAATTGGACAACTGTTGAGCGAAGATTCATACATAACTTATGGCGTCCCACAAGGCAGCGTTTTGGGCCCGACTTTGTTTCTAATTTATATTAACGATTTGTGTACCTTAAACATAAACGGGGCCAGGATCTTTGCCTATGCTGATGATACGGCTATAGTTTTCAATGGGCCTACGTGGGATACTGTTCATGAAGCTGCAGAAAGAGGACTCCGTGAAGTTGCCTGTTGGCTAAGAGCAAACCTGCTTTCACCTAACACTGAGAAGACAAATTACATTTGCTTTTCAAAAAATATCCGATCACAACCTTCATGTAACTTTACTATTAAGATTCATTCCTGCAAAAGCACTACTTATCAAAACTGTAGCTGTCCTATAATCAACAAAGTAGCCACGACTAAATATCTAGGTATTATGGTTGACCAAAGACTTTCGTGGCACTCACATATTGAATTAGTTACTTCCAGAGTCAGAAAATTAATATGGATTTTCAGGAATTTAAGATATTCAGCTTCGAAAATACTATTAACTAAAATATATGTCGCATTAGCCCAGTCAGTGTTGTGTTACTGTATCTCAGTGTGGGGTGGAGCCTCTAAAGTGAAATTTCTGGAAGTGGAAAGAGCACAGAGGTCACTACTCAAAGTCATGTTCTTCAAATCATACACATATCCTACTCATGAATTATACTCAGAAAGCAACATTCTATCCGTTAGACAATTATATATTTTATGGGTTGTTTTAAAAAGACATAAAAATTTGGTTATTGATTCTAACATAGTAGATAAAAGAAGAAATCGTGGTGTTCTTATGCTGCCTAGGTTATGTTACTAACAAATAATGTAAAACTTAATTTGCTATAACAAGTTACTTTTGATGTGGCTATGGAAGAGCGAGATTGTCTGTCACAGGTGTTTTGTACACTTAAAAGGCGATCTCAACCTTATTTGTAATTTGTAAACATTTTGTTAATGAATAAATTTTTTTTTTTTTATGATAAAGTTTGATCCAAGTAAACATAAGTGATCTTTAACTGTTGAACAATAAGGTATTATTACATCTCCATTAAACTCTTTTGGAGATAAGTTCAAGCCTTCAACTAAGTCATAAAAATGTAGCCTAGATAATCTATAATTTGCTCTAATTATAAATTACCTGGTCACTAATAATAATGTCGACGGAAGTGTTCAAATACCCGTGTATTGAATGGTAGTAAATCTGAGTATATCATCTGCATACATGTGCTAGATGAAATGTGCCGCCACCTTCGACATCGCACCATGAGTATTCAATGAAAATGGGCTGATGTCTTTATTTGAGGTTGCTCCGAAAATTACCGAATATTACAGATATTATGTTAATGGGACATAAAAAACTCAACAAAATATCAGAATCAGTGTTAAAAGCATTTCTGAAATCAAGAACTGTCAGGATTATGAGGTATTTATTATCCTTAGCTAAACGAATGTCGTCCATAACTTTTATTGGCGCTAATGTCATGCTGGCATGCACCAGACTGAAAACTATATTAAAAAGGACTCTGGATAGAAAGCTGATTAATAAATATGGTTAGCTGTTGGTAGTTTCGTTTTTCTAGGACTTTGCAGAGGAATGGCAATATAGAGATAAAACAGAAATCAGCTGTGTATGTAAGAATATTTTCTTAGACAGGGGGATCTAGCCATTTTCAATAAGAGATTTTTTTGAAGGAAGTAGAATTATTAAGAATATGTGACGAGGTAGAAAGATATATTGAGAGGGATCTTTCAATTTATTATGTGCTTTTTCTATTCTATCTTAAAATTTCTTGTAATACAATTAAAATTATTCGGTTTATTAACTTAACTCCATCACGTTACTATGTTCACATAAAAGCCATAGATAACTTAAACTGCTTTCATTTATACAACCATATTTACATTGACTCTAGTAACGGCGCTACAATTTGTTTGCTCATACAGGGCTTTCACTAACGATTTTAAGTTTTTCACACTAACAATAAATTGCCGAGGTTAAATCATTAAAAAGCTTTTTTTTATTTAGTGACGTAAATTATATATTAGTTTGCATCCTATTTGCTTCAATGTATAAATGGCAACCCTGTTCATATCGGTTTAATAAAGGTGCAGATTTGTGAACGGTATCCAAATATGTATTTTATGTTTGGTCGTAGAGTTGATGAAAATTGGAGTAATATGATACAAATATTAGCAAGTGTTGCCGTCATAAAAACGCTTCAATTTTACGTTTCGTATCTGGGTAAAAGTAAAAAAAAAAACAAAAAAAAAAGTAAATTTTATAATTGACTGTCTTCTTCTATGCACGGCTTTTTCTCTACTTAGACAATACCTTTGAATGTGTCGTTACTAATAATTATCTTGTAGTACTTCAGACTTCAGAATGCGGTCCCGAATTCGACCCTTGCGTCAGTTCTAATATTATTATTGTATTATATATATATATAATTGTTTATATTGTTTGTTTATTATTGGTGTTTTTTTCCTGTAGAAATTTTAAATAGCACGCCGCTATTTAGTAATATTTTAATTATGAAACAACATCATAGCAATATTATTATGATTAGTTACTCAGCTAGATAAGACACCGTAACGAAAACCAAGCGGCTAACTCCATTTCAGTGCAGTTTTTTGTAGGCACTAAAAACGTTATTTAAATAATACTATGAACTTGGAAAACATGATATTTTAGATAATTTAAAAATAGATCATTATTAAAAAAATGTTATATTTATTTTTCCGAATTCCTATAAATATTTTTAAATTATTTACGTTTTTGACGATTGAAAAGTTGATTGAGACGGAGTTGGCCGACGTAAGAATTAAAGTTTCGAATTAAATAAAATAATGTTTTTATTAAATTTTAACAGGTTATGTGCGTGCAGTACTGGCCACCTAATAAAGAAAAGGATGAAACCTACGGTGACATAAGTGTCGGCATTGTCCAAGAAGAAGAACTGGCTAATTTTCATATACGCACCTTCCGATTATACAAAATGGAGAAGAATGTTAGTATTTATATCATGGAAAATACATATATTTCGATAAGAAAATGTACTGAAACACATTAAGCCCATGGTGGTTGTCCTTTACTCCACATATACCAACCAATGCTTTTGAGATATATTTTTTCTGATATTCAAATAATATCAAATAAGTTTAGACCGAATTTCGAATAGAGAAATGATACACGGTACTTATTATCTATATTCATATAATAAAATTGTAACTAAGACAAATCTGTACATTAAATATTTTTTGGAAAATCTTATTGAAATAGACATTATTATCGATACAGAGGCCGAATGTATAGTTTTCAGAATTTTTGTTTGTCTGTCACCTTTTTCTCCGGGAAAATATCTCATCTTTGAGAAATCTATACTAAACGTTAAAACGTAAGTGGGGACGAGCCCGAGCGGAGTAAGGGTGTGTCGCTAGTTAATCTAATAAAAACAACAACCCACAAGGGGGTGAAATGAAATAAATAATGGTAAATCATTTTACTTACTTGAATACACTTGAGATTTGGAATTTCTATGTAAAATGCAGTATTTAAAAGCTAAATTAATACAAAATAAAATAATTTATTTCCAAAGAATATGAAAACTACCCAAATTTTAGCCAAAAGACAAGAATATTTTTATGTCGATTAACTTTGTTTACTTTATTATCATCAATATTATTATAAAATATGGGATCTAAAATTTATCTGACTCTGTACTGCTTTCTCTTCGAACAAGCTTAAGAGGAACTCCACCTTCGAATCCTTGAACGAAATGCGAGTTTCGATCTACTTTTGCATGTCGAGAGGACTGTGGCCCTGGTTCCACATTGAAACTTTGTAATACTGCAGCTAAACCTGTTATCGTCTGCATGGTACCCAACCGACTTCCTGAAAATTTATAATAATAATACTCTTTACTGTACGCCATACAAAAATAAAAAATGAAAATAATACCCTAGAAAGTTTTCCAGCTAGCGGCCTTATCGCTAAAAGCAATCTTTTAGAAGCAATCTTGAATGGGAGAAGTAAGAGTGTGGCCGAACGGTGAAGACAGTGTACAGACTAGCTATAATAATAATAAACATATACTTAGACACACTTTTATTGTATATATACGTACCCATAAACAAAAATACATATACACATATAATATATACATACATACATAATTTACAAACATATACACATATATAAACTAATGATAGAACTAGATTTTATTTTATTCTATCATTAGTAATAAATTAACAATAAAATTATATTACTATTGGGAGAGAATATAATGCACATTTGAATAAGTATTAACTTGACTTAAGTATTGACCCAATTATACGATACTTCTTAGGTCAATACTTAAGACACTTAAAAACTCAGAAAAAGTAGGAGTTCTTGCGGGAGTTCTTCTTATCAAGGCAAAAGCAAAGAGAAAGTGGATCACTAATAGTAATATAATTTTAGTAAAAAGTGTTCGAAACTTCCTTACCAATACACATTCTTTTTCCCAAACCGAAAGCCATGTATACATATTTATTTCGTTGACTTATGGCTTCTGGCGTAAACCTTTCAGGTCTAAATTCATATGGTTTTGGAAAATATTTCTCGTCTAAATGTAGTGCTTGAACTGGCAAAAAGATATTAACACCAGGCTCTATTGTAACATTTGTGCCCGGTAGTGTATACTCTTTTGTACACTTCCTACTAATTACTCCTGCTGGAGGAAATATTCGCATTGTTTCTAAAAATGCCATCTCTAGCAGAGTCATTTCAGAGACTGCTTGATAACATAATTTGTTTTCATGCTTGGATAAAACTTCATCTATTTGATTTTGAATATTCCTTTGAATTTCTGGATAATATGCCAGATGATGCAACGTAACACTTGCAGATGTTGCAGATGTTTCATAACCAGCTAAGAAAAACATAGCTACTTGAGCAGCTATAAGATTCGTACTTGCTAAATTTAACACTTCAACATCAAGTGAACAATCTTGATTATTTTTCTCTACAGATTCACTTTTTATTTTCTGCTGTGCTCTTAACTCTAATAAAAAATCAATGAAATCATTGTTAGAACTAGGCTCAAAATTTCTTTTTTTGCAAACACTGTAAACTGTATCGTAAAATAATTTCTTAGTTTTAGGATCGAAAAAGTATGACACGTGTAGCCATTTCGGTAAAATATCTTGAAGAATTATAAGAATCGTTTGCCATGTGGACCTTTTGAGTATATTATTTGTTAAATTAAAAAAATGAGAATTTTCATCCATAATAATATCAACTGTTGCGCCCATACCACAGGCGGTAATAAATTCCATACTGAATCGCGACATCATTTCATATCCATCTACAACACCACCCTTGCTAATAACCCTGTTCCCATACCCCTGAAGTTTTTCTGCACATTTTGTAATAAGAGGAAACATTTTTCGGACTTGTTTAATAGTAAAAGCTGATGTCAATTTTTGGCGTAAAAACATCCACTTATCACCACCTGCATGAAATAAATTTACAGTATTTTGGTCAACACTATCATACGCAAGGTTCCTTTCATCAAAATGATTGAAATCTATGACAGTTATATGTTTAACTAATGTCGGATCTCTAATTACAAGCCCTGGATTAGCTCCTTGAAAAATACCGATGAATTTTTCGTCAGGATATGCTTTATATATTTTAGTCAACGTTTCCACAGGAGTTACCATTTTAAATACTTTATAGAAATAATGGCCAAAGAACGGCAGAGGCTTAACATGTTTAATGTTTTTCTGTTTCCAATAGTCATGATTACGCACTGAATAAAAATATATAAATGAAATGCAAACTATTACAAGACTTGCGAAAATATACATGGTAAGTTAATTAACACTGACAAATGTTGAAAAGACGTTTACAATTGTGCCGGCCTTTATACTTTCTGATAACATATTTAATGTTGACGCATATTAAATTTTGTAATTGTAATTGTAAAATGTATTGAAATATTTATATCTTCTTCTGTATGATGAAAAACAGTTTCAAATCTATTAATACTAGTTCCTTCCTGACATTTAACTTCCGTGCGTATTTCAGAGAATAAGCAATCATCATGGGTCAGAAAAAGAAGATAAATAGAAGCATTGAAAATCCTCTGTGGCTCTATTCATAATATTTTTTCGAGCATGTGTTTTTAGGCTTTCATAATAATTGAAGTAGTCGTATTGGTAGGCATTACGACAACTATCAGGAGTTTTTTTTTATACCTATAATAAAACAAAGAATTATCCGAATAACCAGTTTGTCTGTTGTCTTTACGTTTGCATTGATAACGACAAAAGATAATTTTTTTTATTTGATCGTACATGCAACCTAATATTGAAAGATAGGAATTATGTAATAAGTGTACATACTCGTATATGTGTAATAAGCACGAAATCGATTAATAATAATTTTATTTGCACGTTATAACAAATGTGAGATGGGCTTCCTCCACAATATATTGTCCAATTGACACTTGGCAAATTTTTACCCGACTGCGCCAAAAGGAGGTTTATGTTTTTACGATTGTATGTATGTATGTATATTTCTTTGCCATGCTTATTAGCCTAAATGGCTTGACGGTCTTTAGCTTGAGAAGTATCATCAGATTCATCTTTAATTGTGAGAGTGACACTGGGTACATAAAATTAATGTGGTGGATTTTTAGCACCATATTATAATTATGTCTTCAAACATGTTTTTTTCCTCAAAACCTATCGAATGGGGTATCAAAATAAAGACCATACGGAATAGCATAAATTTTCACCAGCTAAAGCCATAGATTATCAAAAATATAGAAAATCTAAACAAAATAAATGTATGGAGAGTAGACTGGATGAACATTGAACATATTTGAATATATTTCATGGATATTTTAAACGAATCAAAAATAATCACACCAATTTATAAATAAATCTACTAAATAGTTTCTATATAATAAATAATATTTTGCTCTAATTTCTTTCGCTATCCCGGAGGTACTCTTTGCTATTCTGTTCCGCGTCTTTATATAAAAAAGATTAAACAAAAATAAATTGTGTCTTTGAAAATAACATATTTTTACTAACTCAAATAGAAAGATCCTTTTGAGCAGGAATATGTTCAAAAAAGAAATATAGAATGTAAAGGACAGTGAATGCGACACAGAAGCTAATGTTAGAGGAAACCATTTGTAAGTCTTTTAACGAGCTTAATAAAGTTTCTCATGGTCCCTATTTAATCCCACATTTCATTATGTTAGGGAAAATATAAATTCTGTTTCAATTTAGCCTAGAAATTAAAACCTTACTTAGACCTGAATACAAAATGTAAGTAGCGTACATATTGACTTTGTTTTATGTTTTTAAAAGCTGTTTTTAAAAGCACTATTTAAAGACTAAAACTATATATAAAAGATAGAATTCAACTATTTTAAATTTCTATTATTTAGGTGTGAGTAATATCTCCATAATAAAAATTATTGGCTATATTACATGTTTTTGCTCTAAGACAACACAAAACAGTTACTGCAAATTAAGAAATGCCACAGTAAAAAACTATATGATTTGTATTTGTGAATAAAAAAAGCATTCGTAGCATTCGTAAATTACTAACGAATAGCCGTTTGTTCACTAACCGACACGCCACTGTCACCGGCCCGGCAGGCGGGGAATGAAAAATGTATGAAAATATATTGCTTGGATTTCCACTAACCAGCGATGGTTTCCATGCATTTCTAGTACCGGCTAGTTTACCAGTTGATAGACTGATTGCCGTATCAGCTAGAGAAGAAATAAACAATAAATAAATAGAAGACGTTGTTATATTAGAGATATGTACATATGTGTAAAGAATTATGCGTAACTTTGATCTGTATACGCATTATTGATATTTCTAATTTTGTAAAAATCTACTTTCTCATTTTACACGTAAGTATAAGAGATAAAATGGTTCGACCAGTTTTACGATATTACTCGTACTTGTTAGTTGACATTACCTTCACATATTGAATGTTTATGAACTGTATGATTTTAATACTAAGTACTTCATATATTATAAACTTTTGCAGTTGTAATGTGTTCCAATAAAGTGATATCTAGTGCTATATACCTCAGCCATTATTATTAAAGACTAGTTTTTAAAGGCGATATGAAAGGTTATATGTATTAATGTAGGTTCAAAGATGGTGTAAATGCGAACAGAGAAGTGACCTCCTTATAATATTGTAACACACAGGTATACGCTCAGGGACTAACATAAAAAAAGTCATTAGATTTGAGTAGGTACTATAAGAAAGGTTAGTATGAGGATAAAATACATTTAGTGTTAAATATTTAAGCAGTACCTAGTGGCCTTTGTTCGAGCAACGCATACTCACGAGATCATTAGGACTGAACAGTGAACATACTTTAGGTTCTCGAAGGTTAGGAACCAATTCCCTCGGTGCAATCGATAGATGTTGAAAACTTTCTTATAGTGTACTTACTTGTTGTGTTAGGTACTCTATTAAGGGAGTAATATATGTTTATACATCTATGTATGTATGTATTGAGCCCTTTTTAAAGTTCCATTGCTGGGCAAGGGCCCCCTATCAATACGAGGGGCATCAATCAGGTCTTAGTCCACCAGGCTGGCCAAGTGCGGGTTAACGAAGTTCACCTTTCAAAAACTTGCTAGGTTCACTCAGACATACAGGTTTCCTCACGATGCTTTCTTTTATCGTAACACAAGTGGTAATCATGTTTGATATGATTGGCACATGAAAATATCAGAGGTGGAAGATCTGGGATTTGAACCTGCCTCATTCGATTTCCGAAGCGAGCGCGTTGCCACTGCCTGGTTACAACTGAGCTGCTTATACATGTATATTTTATATATTTATTTTATATATAGCATATCCTTTTCCTTGCTATATCGTCTATATATAAGCCAAAGCGAATTAAAGTTTCTTTACTTCATACATATGTTCTGAAGCAACAATATGTACCTATATTTGCGATAATTTTATGAATATATGACTACATCATAAAAATTTTGTGTATTTAGGTGGTGGTAGAAGAAAGATACATCTTGCAATTCCACTATACGCAGTGGCACTCTCATACTTGCCCATTTAGCAACGCATTGTTGGAGTTTCGGAGGCGAGTGCGGGCGGTGGTCGGGAGGAGACTCGCATCGAACTCCGTTACTGGACCTATGGTGGTACATTGCAAGTACGTATTCAACTACATAAGTATTAAATATTGGTGCTATTTCTAAATTATATATACTTTTCAAATAAAGTTTAGGAATTTGAAGGCTAACACAAAATGTCAATTTACAACCGTTGATGAATAAATGGCACAAAAAATGTATGAGAATGGCAGACTATGATTCTAAAAAATAGCAATTATAATTTGTCTGCATTCAGCCCTTTTTGTTAAGCACGGGTCTCCCTTCAATACGAGGGAGGATCAGGCCATAGTCCAACATGCTGGCCAAGTGCGGGTTGGCGGACTTTATATGTCTTCCAAAAATTTGTTAAGTTCTATCAGACATGTAGGTTTCCTCACGATATTTTCCTTCACCGTAAGACATGTGGTAATTATGTTGGAAATGATTCGCATTCGATTTTGCAATTGCGAGAACCGGGATTTAAACGCGCTACACTCGGTTACCCAAACGAGCACGTTACCACTTGGCTACCACTACCTATTTAATATAATTTTTAACATTTCTATCCTTTAACAATTGTAAAAAATGGTCTTATACGTCTCTTGACTCGATTTTCTATGCAGATAAATAAAATTAATGTGTCTGTTTGTAATGTCAAAATAACAGCGTTTTAATAAATGCATATAAAATTATATACGGCACATAAGTGCCGTATATAATTTTATATACGGCACTTATGTGTGTATTTCTTATAAAAGAAAAACACATTTTTTTTAATTTTTGTCTATCTATCTGTCTGTCTGTCTGTTTGTTCCGGATAATCTCTGAAACGGCTGGACTGATTTTGACGGGACTTTCACTGGAAGATAACTGATATTATAGGAAGTAACATAGGCTACTTTTATTTTAGAAGAAAAAATAGGGTTCCGGTAAAAAAACGTACCTAGGGACGAACCCGAGCGAAGCGGCGGCGAGTCGCTAGTTACTTAATATAACATATCTAAAAAAGATTTTTACATTTCAAACCTCAAAGCAAATCAATTTGGATAGTCAATTATGAAATAACAAATTACAATATTACATTATTGAGTCTATTCCGTTCATAAAGATAACATTTAAATTAATATTTGCTTTTAGCGATGGCGGCGGACGATCGGGGGTATATTTAGCTATTGACGCAAACTTAGAACTAGCCGAAGAAGAAGACTGCTTTGATGTATTCGGATATTTAAAGAAATTGAGACAGTCAAGAAAAGGTCTTATTGAAAACGAGGTATGCTTATATCGTTAATTTATTTTTAAATTAGTTTTCGTCTGCACTTCCGCTGCGTGGCGATTGTCGATAAAAAAATAATTAACGTATTAATTAAGAACATGTATAAACTAACTCCATGCTAATTTAAACATTGAAACGTCAATGTCTTGTAACTGAGTGAGGTTCTTCAACCTTAACTTGAGTGAAATTCTAAACGAACATAGCCTGGATAGTTTTTAATAATATATACTAATTTTTACCGATTTACCTATAGGTAGGTACTATACACTTGTGAAGCTGAATATTCTATTCACATTTGGGGGGATCTCCCACCAACTCTCAATTACCCTCCACAGGGTGATTTCCCATTCTAAATTGAAAGGAAAACAGCTCACGTAATTAATGTATGCCCCTTTAAGGTAGTTCCAATAGTTTTTGTTTTTTTTCTTAACCAAATTACACTCGTATAGGTACATACATATTATGTATAAATAACTTGAAAATAAAAAAAATACTCTTGCAATAATTAATTTTAAGCTATTATATTATTATATATATAATATTGAGAGTAATAAATAAATTTATATATATATATATATATATATATATATATATATATATATATATATATATATATATATAAATTTAGTTATTTATCACTAATAAATGGTAACTAATTAGGAACTCTGGAGCCATCCATATAATTATATATCCGTTAGCTAAAAATTAGTGCTTCAAAAATACCTTGGGAATAAATCCAACTTCCTTATTAATATCAGTGGAGGAAAAATTAAAATGATAATGTTATATAATATTTTTAGGAGCAATATAAATTCGTGTATGACACATTAGAAGAGCACATAGTATGTGGAGTGTCTTGGTTTCCTGTGTCAGAACTATCTCAAAGGCTGAAACAGAAATCCCAAAGGGATCCCGTGACTAAACTCAATGAATACCAAAAAGAATATCAGCAAATATGCAAACAAACTCCAAGATTTACTATTGGTGACTGTGCCGGGGGACATCGAGGCGATAACAGGGAAAAGAATAGAGACGTTCTCGTTGTGCCACGTAAGGAAATATTTATTACCGTTTTACTCCAGTAGCCTCTAAGGAATATATAATTTAATCTAATCGATTCTATACATTTTTGTGCAAGATTTTAATATTACGAAGATTAACATTGTCTTTTCCTTTACAGCGGACAATTTTCGCCCATATTTGACATCGTTCCAAGGCAATAGTTTCACAGATTATATTAATGCTGTATTCGTGGATGTAAGTAATATACGTTTTTGTAAGACATATAACTCCTTATTATGTATTTTGTGCTGGAAAAACAAAAGTTTGTATAATATAATTAGGAAAAAATGGAAATATATATGTAAAAGTTCATATATATGAATGAAACATTTTCCAATTAATTTGTAATTTTTTTTATTTTGGGTAAATAACACACTAGCTTTAACTGTACTAATTTTGCATGCGTATTTATTTGAATTGAATGCACTTAATTTTTATGGTTCTTTTGTGCATTATTTTACTGCATATAAACCTTAGATGAAGCTTATGAGGATCAAAATCTATGCAATAAATAATCAAACTTTTTTCGAGACCCTTACTAAAACAGACAGAGACAAAAACTATCAAAAAACTTTTTATGACATAATATTGTTGTTACAGCTTTCAAATAACAGTATAAACTTTGACAAAGTTATTCAATATACTTATCCAACCCGTTATTATGTATATATTATTATGCATGTATATTGTATATATTACTAATCTATAAATAATTTAGCCTTTTCTAACGGCCCACAGCCTGGCACGGTCCGTCCGTCCTCTCAATGCAAGAGAGATCAGGACATAGTCCACCACGGTTGCCAAATGCTGGTTGGCAGATATCAATGACATTCATGAATTAGGTTCTCTCAGACATGCAGATTTCCTCACGATATTTTCTTTCATCGTATTAGCAAGTTGTAATCATGTTGGAAATGATTCACTTATGAAATAACGAGACCTAGATTTGAACCCGGGTATTGATTTTCCAAGCGAGCGTGTAACCAATGGGCAGCTAGTTTGTAATAATACCCCCAAGTAGGTTAATAATCTGCTTTTTTTATAGGGTTACACAAAGCCTCGTGAGTACATAGTGACAGAATGGCCGTTAGTGAGAACGCAAGGAGAGTTCTGGTCATTGGTGTATGATTATGAATGTGCTGCAGTTGTCGTGCTATGTGTACCACCTAAGAACTCCGTAAGTGCTTTAAGATATCTAATTTTTTAATATTCACAGACTTAACTCTAAATAAAACTTATATAAGTATACCTACATATTTTATAATATTAAATGAGTAATTCTTATATTATATTTATAAAATTTTTAGGTATCACAGAAATTGCTTTAACAATTTGGATCAAGTTTTGTATTTAGATAAGGTTTTGCTTTTTAAGTTTATCTGTATAGGTCCTTCCTGAAAAAACGCTATTTATATCTCCTCCGAAAAACGCAGAGGAAGCTCGGTCGCCCAGGTATTAAATTTAGTTCGAATTACCTTAGAAACAATTCAAAAAGTCTATACAGTAATTGAAAATTACTGTTCAACTAAAGAAATGCCGTGATTTAATATTTCATTGTCTGCAAAGAATATCATTGCCCGAATTTCGGCTTTACACCAGGAGGAAATTATTTTTTATTGTTAAAATATCTTATTACAAGTTACAAAGTTATTTCTTGCAGGTTATGAATTTGTTAGGCAAAGGCAGAAAAAAATTGAGTCGAAATTAATCATACCTAAAGCCCTTTACAATTTTATTTGTAGTATTATATATATTATATAGATTAATATAATTATAATTTATAAGTAAATTTATTATGTGGGTCACACAAGACGCTTTATTTACGTTATCGTTATAAATTGTCTTATTGACATCCCAAAGTCTGATCTAACGATTAATGAAATCTCGTCCTGCAATTAATCTCTTTCAAGATATGGAATAAACAGATTGCTTTCGTTACAGCAACAATTCCCTCCCTTTTGGCCTGAAGGGAGACACTCGAAGAAATATGGACCAGTTTTCACAATAGACCACGTCTCGCATAATCATTACACGAACATCAAAACTTGGATATTTAGGATTAATAAGAAAGTAAGTATGAAAGTTCTTCTTTTCTTTGGGAGAGAGTCGTTGGGAGAGTCGCTAGTATATATTATATATTCTTTCTTACTTTCTTGGTTTTCATTGTCAATTAATTAGGTGGCAAGTATACTTCCCGTTGGTTCACTTAGTTGTTCCTGAGTTCACCCAATTTAAAATACTTTCTAACCTAGTAAATATTTCTCGTTTTCGTCAAAGACAAATATTTATTTAATGTAACAATAAATGCTTACGTTTTTATGTAAAGAAAAATTTGAAAAAAAATGCCCGGAAAAATGTAAAAACACAATTTTTCTAATCGGGCCTGCTACACACTTGATTTGACTGAACGAGGTCTGTCGTGTCAGCTAGAGTAGTTCATAAAAATTAAAAAATGTTGTTTCCAGTTCATACATTTTGGTATTTTAGCAAAATCACTAATCTATGTTTCGACTGTTTCTCCTACATTTGACATAACTATTGCTTCCTGCTTTAATCAAATTATATATTTTTCTGTTAGTATAAAAAAAGAATATATAAGTCTTCGAATAACTACTTATAAAATATTTATTTTTAGATTGTATCACTGACGGAATTGATGGCAGGCGTGAAAGCTCCTCCAAAGACTGTTCAACTATTCCAATTGACGTGTTGGCCTATGGGTCACAAAGTCCCATCATCGACCAACTCCTTGGTAGAATTGATGAACATGGTCGAACGTTGGCGGCAACGCACTGATTACGGACCAGTCTGTGTTGTTTCTCCGTGAGTAAAAAATATCTTAATAGATATTTTAAAACATAATATTTTGATAGGTAATATCTAAGAAGAATCATGATTTAATATTTATTTGTTTTTTAGAAAATATGAGTAATATGATAATAATGTTTATACTACTTTTCGTCTTTCGAATAATATCGAAAATACCAAAAAAGTTGCAATAAATCCCATAATTTATTATCCTCAAACCATTCTTCTATATTAATCTATGAAAACTTCTTTCTGGATGATTTGTTTATTAATTGTATATATCTTAAAACTACTAAATTATTAAAAAAAAATCATTAATAGAAAGAGTCTCGAATAGAACCTCCAACAAAAAATATTAGTTTTTGTTTAATAAAGAATACAATATATCACTTAAAGTAATGCACGAATAAATACTTATATAATTAATTGAATAATATCCGTATGATATATAGTCAATTGAACCTCGTGCATTTCATTTAGGTATATATTTAAGTATACTCTTCTACTTAGCCAAGTTAATGACTACCTCCGCGACCTTATTTACCTAACCCCAAATCTTAGCGCGTAGTTTGTGTTTATTGAGACTAATAATCACACATCACAGGTGTTGCCATTCTACTAATTAAGTCTATTTATTATACTAATTAAGACTACACATTTGCAATAGCTTTATTTGATTATTTTACTAAATTTATTTTTGTAATAATAAATGCTTTAATTCATATGAAGTATTTTTATGTAAACTCATATAATTTTGGTCTTGACGACTTTATGTAATGTGTAATGTTTATTTGTTTATGAGGATTTTTTTATGAGGAATAAATTATACAGAAAATGTTGTTATAGAGACGGCCGCAGTCGTGCAGGAGTTTATTGCGCCGCCAACGCCTGCATTGAACAAGTGATTCAACACGGTGAAGTCGATGTATTTCAGGCTGTGAAAACTGTTCGACGTCACCGTCCACAACTCGTTGAAAATATGGTGAGAAATTGCGTTTTTTAACAGTGGACCAAAAAATCTTAATAAGCTTTTTTTATTAATGTACTGCATCCCATTTATATTTTCATTTTTAGTATTTCTTAATCGGGGGAAAAATGGAACCCTTACAAATTGTACCAACTACTGTTGACCTCTAATTAAATATCAAGTTGTAATCATTACTTTTCTTTCAGACTGAGTATAAATACTGCTACGATTTAGTTCTTCATTACGTACTGCATTACTTAAATAAGGATATGAATGAAAAGAAGTGAGAGTGCGAACTCAAGGACGAACTCTGGTTCATTGAATTCGGGCGCGGTGCTGCTTTACCCACGACGCCAGAAGAGATGAGTCCTACTGCAATAGCAAAAGACACAAAACGTCAACAAACTAGGCCCTTGCGACCACGGAGAGGGCTGTCTTTGGACCGTCTAATGCCAAGCACCCAGCGCCCTCAACTACCTCACGCTGTCACTGTCGAAACTCCTCGACGAAGACGTGATCGCCCCCCACTTCGTCGATCAATTCGTCTGGAAGACGACGAAACTGCTGCTGAACGTCGACGAATCTTTGGGCATGGACCACGTGTCCTTTCTTTCGACGAAGATAGTGACCATGAGGAGTGTGAATGTCATCGCTCTTTAGAACGCTCCGGAACAGCTGAGACGCCTGACGAAGAAAAGGAACCAGAGTTCGCCACCACACCTGATCCGATACCGGAAATTTCACATGTACGCGGAGCTTCTGCTGATCGCGTGCTCGAACGTCGCGATGGCACACTTCGTGTACCTGCTCGAGCACACTCTCAAGGCGTTTTTGAACGTCGTCTTCCTAGAATTTATAAATTAGGTTTAATAGATAAATCAAAACGAGCTAGTTCGAGCGCACTATATGAAAGAGCTGACCGTTCTCCGACTGAAGCATTTTATAACGCAACAGGGTCGACACGGCTCAGTTCTCAAGAACTATTTGAAAAGTTTTGTTCTGAAGATTTTACGTCCTTGTATGGTAGAGAAGATGATAGACGGAGACGACCGCCACATTCAAAGTCTACTGGAAGCAGTGGGTCTGATGTAAGACATGAAAAGAATTGTTGTAAACGAACTCCTTGTGGATCTCAACCAGCTTTAACTCGCCGCCATATATGTCACGCGCCACGATCAGATCGCTCTACAGACTCGGAGGAAACATCTCCCCGACGAAGTAATTTACGCCCTTTACCTCTTGAACCTGAATCAGAGGGCGCAGAAGATTGCTCTCGCTCCGCCCCTCTGCTTAGCCCTGATCGGTTTGAAGCCCGATTTACATTCGATATATCTGAACGTAGTGAAGTAACATCAATTCGAGATGAAACTCCATCTGATGCAACGGAAACGCGAAATTTAACTTTGTATGAAGAACCACACTCAGATCGTACTAGTATTTGTGAACTATATGATGCAGCATTTACATCGCATAGACCTTCATTTCGAAGAGATAGTTCTCGAAAACGTGGACCTTTTGACTTAAGTACACTAGATTTTAGGGCTATTGATGATGAAAGTCCTCGTACTAGTCGACGAACATCTCAACGGAGTGTGAATGATACACTTCGTCAAAATTCAGAATCACGTAGCTGGGCGTCAGATTCTGTGTTTACAACACCGGTGCGACATCACGATACTTCACCATCTTCGACTGACACTCGTCAATATTTAACGGCTCAAGGGGATTCATTGCGAGTTGATTCAGCAGCAGCAGACTCAACATTTGATTCAACTGCCGATGAGCCACCGAGTGTTATAGAAAGATCCGAATATACATTAGCGTTAAAGTTAGGACGTATAGAATTAGATGAAACTATAGAACGTCCGGCGTCAACACCGGCTGCCGAAGGAGCAAGACTCTCGAGTCGCGCGTCTATGCATAAATTAGAACCAATTGAACCAAAGCGTTTGTGTAGTGATAGCGGTGGAAGTGCAGTGCGAAGAAATGCGAATTCAAGTACGTTAGATGTAAGTCGCAGGCGGGGTGTGAGTGAGCCGCGTCGGTCGTCGCGATGTTTTCCGCTCTGATGGCGCGCGGCGGCGGCTTTAGAAGGCCGCTGTAGCCGCCGAGCCTCCACTCGTACTCTTCGTAAAACACATTTGTATCTAAAATGTTTTAAGAATTTGAATATATGTGTGAATATAGAAATTTATGACCAAATCTATGGGATTTATATTAGAAGGCAATTATTGATATACGATTAAAGCCTCACTTTTCTAAAATCTTTTACAGATACGACTCTGTTCTACTTAAGAGTATGATTTAAATCTTCTATGTGATGAGCTAGACGCTTATAGCAGGTATGCTACCATACCTTAGCGGGCCCGCTCCTGCCTTATGATTACGAATGACTATTGGGCTGAGAGTCGAATCTAAAAGATTTCAGTATTTTAGTGTGGGAGTGCAAGGTTTTCTTAAAAAGATTGTTTTTAAGTGCGTAATGTTCAAGTGAGACAATGATAAGTGGTCGATCGTAATCTTAAGGCCGTATCGGCGACAATCCCATTGCTGTCGCTGTCAAATCCTAGTCTTCATAGTACCGAACGGTAACTGCCAAATTTCTTATTAGTAAGTTTGTATGTATTGATATTACTTAATAAAATTTAATACGGCGTCTTGTCGGTATCATTAAGTAGGCAGTGCCTAAAACTACGTAGAGCGTAGATTCTAAATTTCTTAGAAAGTGATCCCGGGGACGGAGGCCTCGTAGTCCACGACTGACACAGGGTCATATAGCTAATTTCATTAATGTACTTAAATTTTATCCTACTCACATTGGCACATCATTGTGAGCTTTAAATGTCGAAAATACTTTTGACATGTATGTATTTTCTGTTCCTTATCTTCTTTCGTAATTTCTTGAATTAATATGATGCCACATAGATGTAAAAAATATTTTATTTGATTAAAATTCTTGGTTTTGTACGTTTCTTAGGTTTTATATTTAGATAAATTGCATGTAAACGAAAATACTACATTTTATTTTTGAAGTGAAACTTCTTTAGAATCATTGTGATTTGTAACTCGATAAAACGAAAACGCGTCACGAGAATGAGACAAACACATAAATATATAGGATTAAGCCGGTGAGAGAGTGAGACATTACACGGAAAGTGAAAAATAATAAACATAATAATGAATAATATGTAATGTAATAATATGTAATATATTGTTGAATAAAATGTAAAATTACTTTTTTTTAAAATAAACCTTATAATTATCTTACTCCTGATACTCTATATTCATCTCATTCTCTCGTAGGTTACTTTTCAGAAGTTTCACTTCTGCAATGTGTGAATTGCACACAGACCTACTTTTTTAATAGAACCTTAAAGAAAAGTAAAATAGAAAAGAAATGTTCTATATCTTGTAATTATAAAAAAATATTTATTTCATGTTTTGATGTTAGAAGTATAAATGTTATTTATTGAATGTTTGTAGTTTAATTCCAATATTTTCATGGCCTTGATATAACGACATCTACATGGAATAAAATTAAAACTTAGTATTGAGATAATTTAAAAATGGAAATAACTTCCTTATAAATATTTAAAGCCTAAATTCAAAATTGATACAGTAGATGTACTGATTTACCACGTTTTTCTTCGCAGGTGTCGGTATATTGTATGGTTTGAATTTTTAACAAGTATTTACAAATTATTTACATTATAGATAGATTGTATTATTATACATTTGTATTAGTATATCGCTACTTGTATAGTGTCAGCTTTCTTTTCCATATTATTTCGTTAAATGTATCTTAAGTGCCAATCGACCCAGTACCTACTTAGTCTTAAGCTACACGTTTTAAAAACTCCAAGAGTACCTATAATTTTGGTGCCCATTTCCATTGTTCTTAGTTTTCTAAAGTTCTCAAATTATTTCATGTTTTTTCTAACTTTGATAAGTTATCTAAATTATATTGTACGTAAAAAAAAAACAATTACATATTTATAGAAATATGTCAGTACCAGCTTCTTTGTAGCACTATTTCTATCCTTTTGCCAACATTTTATTAATTTACTTTTATATATTCAATATTATATTTATATACGTTTTATATATAATAATAAACAAAATTTACCTATTATTGCATAATTGAAGGTATAATGGACAATTGTTCTTAATGGTACGTGCTTAAAGTTTAAAAACGCCACTGCAAGCAATTTCTTTGTGAAAACAGATTTAAAAGATGTAAGCTTTTTCTTTGTATTTCTTTGTATTGTTGTTCGATAAATGTATTTTATTGGTTTAAACCAGCCATACTCAACCTTTTTTTTATAGGAGCCACAAACACGTTTCAGTCATGGTGTCGAGGACCGCAAGCAAAAATTATTTAGGTCTTAACGAAAACGTAATTCCAAGTTAACGATGTAGTTACTTTTTTACCAAAGATATGTTATAATGCGATTTTTGATGCTTCCACATGCGGCCCGCGGGCCGCAGGTTGACTATAGCTGGTTTAAACGATAAAACTTATTTTCAAATTTCATTTAGAAATATGTATAACACTAGATAATTGCTATCAAGGCTCTAGATCTAGAAACTGCTATAAAGTTGTATATCAGGTTCACTAAGTCATAAATAATTCGTAACGAATGATAACGCACAACCTTAATCAGCCCTCAAATATTATATATTATACTATTTATATGGTCAATTAAATCCAGCCCATTTTGATGTAATTTCTAATTTTCCCCACTTGCTTTCTTTTGCTGTACCATAATTTTCAAATCACATAACGCTTTGTAAAAAAACAAAGGCTTAGTATTTGTTTTTTTTTTATTAACTAGCCAACAATTTAATTGACCATATTCCCAATTATTACAAGTAACATTTTATAAGAGCATTTTTAGGAATACGCTATGAAATGCGGCTTATTTATTATAATTTATAAGTTGTCCAATATAGAAGTTAAGTGTCAACCTAAATTATTTTAAAAGACATTTTTAGAAGTTTGTAGATTCTTGTGATAGTGTGAAGGAAAAGTAAAATTGTTCAATCAGCAGTCCATGAAATAGCAGTTTTGGTTATCATTTCATTTGATAATATTATTTCCAATAAAAAAATATAATTAGTGATAAATTAATAGACTAAAAATATAAATGTTTTAAAATAATAAATAATAATCTGTGCTAAATAAACTTTTTTATTAATAACTTATAAAAACAATGAAATTGTCTAAAATTAATACATATTTTAAGTTTCTATACATACCTAACATCATAAGCAAAGAATTTATTAAAGAAATGTACCTATAACTTAAGTTATTGCTTAAAATTACAAGTATTATTAGTCAGAAAAAATATTTTGCTTACTGTAAAAACAATACTTGCAAGGGAACAGCGCGTAAATAATACCTATCTACAATCCAAGTTAATTTTCTATATTTTTATTTTTCATTATCACTTGATCGTCTATTTTTAACCAACTTCCAAAAAGGAGGAGGTTCTCAATTCGTGGGAATCTTTTTTTTATGTATGTTCACCGATTACTCGAAGACGCCTGAACCGATTTGGATTTTTTTTGTTTTATATCACTAAAAAATTTAAAGGACTTTTATTGATTACATTCGAAAAGATAAAAGCCCTTAAAACGAAGAACGATGGCGTAAGCTTAATGAAATTAAGAGAGTTATTACGCCAAAATCGTACATTTTCCTTCACATTTCACTCAATTTTGTTACCATTTTAGTTATTAATTAAATATATTCCGTAAATTTGTTTTATTAAGTGTATCGATGTTTAATTATACGTACATATATTAGTTACGACGTCATGTGGACCATTATTCAAAGTTTTAGTAAGTAAAAGTATAAGCACATGAATAAATTTTCTTTGTAGTTTTTTAAGTGGTATTTGTACTAAACTCGCCGCACCGACCATCTATTTATGTAAATAATTAAAAAAAAACTAGACCTATTTAGTCCGAGTACCATTATACCAAATTATGATCGTATTGTATACCGTATACACAATATTAATAAATTTGATTATTATAGAAGAGTATTGTAACTTAACAATTATATTAAATTATATAGAAATATTGTGATTTTAAATTTTCAACTTCCCAATATTGTAAAATAATTTAAGATATTATTGTTGTCATGGATGTTATTTAAAAGGTAATTTTAATATTTATACATGGAACTTAATGGAAAATATATTTATTTGTTGTATAAATTACGTCTTTTTTTCCTTTTTTTTCATTCTGCTTATTTAATAAAAAATTTGCAGTACTTAGTTACTATTATATGTATTCAGTATATTCTTTTTGTACTATCTTCCCTCTCAGCAGTCGGCTTCTGTTCTAAAAATTCAAACTTTATCTTTGAATCATGAAAATCATTAGATTCGTGAATGAATAAATTGAATCAAAACTTAATGGTGTTTTTAAATCATAGAAGTAGCTGCACAATATAAATGTAATCAAAATCCGTTCAGTATGTAGTATATGTGAAGTTCAATCAAAATTCTTGAAAAAATGAAATAGATTATGAATATTTGCATTATAAAGCATACGCATGAAGCGGTGAACTGTGTAAGAGCTGAAGTGCTATAAGTGATAAAGCTAATTGAAATATTATACCTACTATCGCCAGCATCAAAGCTTAACTATTATGTTATATAGGAAAATACCGTACATTGTATATGGAATCACCATTATTAGCTATCTAAAACCTGCTTAAATATTGCTAACTAAGCTATCTATCAGTTAAGAATCGATCTTTTTTTATATAGATTTTTATTTCTTTAATCCATACTATACTATCCATACTAATATTATAAATGTGAAAGTGTGTTTGTTTGTTTTTTTGTATGGAGATAGCTGAAGAGCTGGAGACTCGGAGAGTGATATAGGCTACTTTTTACCGCGGGAGAGAATCTAATTCCCATGGGAAAATACGCTATAATACAATCCAATTTTTTTTTATTATCAGTATTACTTGAAACTTGGTATTAATGCTCTTCAATAAAATTAATTAAATACGTTGTAACATTTAGTTATTTTATGTGCCAGTTCG